TAACAAAGAAACAGAATTTCCGGAGGATGAGGCCCAGAAATCAGGATTTTAAAAAGATTCCCAGGTGATTCTAATGTGCAGCCAAGGTTGAGAACCACTGATCTATAGATATAGTATTTCCAAAGGTAGCTTCAATAATAGATCCATTACAAATCATTTCACTTCCACGCCCAGCTCCGAGGGCAGGTTCCTGCCTGAAGCATTGCCCTCCAGGAAACAGCTGGTGGAGGGCGCAGCCTTTTCCAAGACTGACCCCTGCAGGACTGACTTCCTTCCAGTTCATCGCACTTCTGGCTGTAATATTACACCCAGGGTTTTTATATAAGTAGATGCACCCTCAGGACACAAAAACTGTAAAGACTACAACTTACAAACAGAAAATTTTTATCCCTTTAAAAATACCTGAATTTTTAAAATATCTCCCCCACAGTGTTGGATGAGACCTTATCTCATCAGATGCCTAGTCATGAATGGATATCTGGGCCTTTCTCAGACACCCCCATTCATCTGCTTTCCTAATTCAAGCTGCCTCTCTATTCAGATGGGGAGACAGGGAGGGGCTGAGAGAGCAGGCTGTCCTTCCCCTCCCCCCTCCTCACTGAGGGTTTAAGGACTCCAGGCAAATCTGAAGCAGAAAGTTTCTGATTTCAAACCCAGTATGCCCGCCATTTGAGTTGTCTGTAAATTCACCTTAAGAATTTGTTGCGGGAGAGAGACCAAGATGGCGGCATAGGTAAACACCGGAGACTGCTGCCGCAAACAACCACTTCAAAAATACAACTAAAAGACGGAACGGACATCACCCAGAACCACAGGAAGGCTGGCTGAGGAGAGACTCTTCAACTAGAAGGAAAAATAACAGCACACCGAGGCTCAGAGGAGGCGCAGTGTGGAAAAAACTCAGGTGCGGAGGTGCGCGCGCAAAGCGGGCTGGTGGCTGAGAGCGCGGTTGTCGTTTTCGGTCAGGGGGGAGTCTCAGACTCTGAGCTCCAGATACGGGCGAATCGCTGGGGACTCGGACCCAAACGGGAGAAGCGGGAGTGTCTGGCATCAGTTGGAAGGCAGCTTTCTCTCCGAGGTTTGCAGCGGTTCCTGGGGTTCTGAGAAGCAGAGCCTCTGGGAACAGGACTGAGGGCACCATAACGGCTCCCTCCGCCCGCCCTGTTGAGCCCGCCCCGCCCAAGCCCTGCGCAGAGCCATTTGCCGGATCGCCTCAGGCAAAGGCTAGATTAGCACCTCCCCAGAGGACAGAAGTTTTCCGCGGCAGACACAGCTGATTCACACAGCCAGTCGGCCTGGTGGTCAAATCCCTCTAGTATTAACTACAACAATCAAGGCTCAACTAGAACAAGACTGCGCACAAAGACCACTAGGGGGTGCACCAAGAAAGCATAAAAAATGCGGAGACAAAAAAACATGACAGAAATGGAGGATATAGAGCTAAAAATCGCAATTTTGAGGGCTTGCAAAAATGTGCTAGAAGCTGTCAATAAACTTGAGGAGAGAGTCACGAAAACTAATGAGACCCTCGATGCTATGATAAAGAACCAACTAGAAATTAAGCATACACGGACTGAAATAAAGAATATTATACAGACACCCAATAGCAGACCAGAGGAGCGCAAGAATCAAGCCAAAGATTTGAAATGCGAAGAAGCAAAAAACACCCAACCGGAAAAGCAAAATGAAAAAAGAATCCGAAAATACGAAGATAGTGTAAGGAGCCTCTGGGACAGCTTCAAGCGTACAAACATCAGAATAATTGGGGTGCCAGAAGATGAGAGACAGCAAGATATTGAAAACCTATTTGAAGAAATAATGGCAGAAAACTTCCCCCACCTGGTGAAAGAAATGGACTTACAGGTCCAAGAAGCGCAGAGAACCCCAAACAAAAGGAATCCAAAGAGGACCACACCAAGACACATCATAATTAAAATGCCAAGAGCAAAAGACAAAGAGAGAATCTTAAAAGCAGCAAGAGAAAGAGACTCAATTACCTACAAGGGAATACCCATACGACTGTCAGCTGATTTCTCAACAGAAACTTGGCAGGCCAGAAGGGAATGGCAAGAAATATTCAAAGTGCTGAATACCAAGAACCTACAACCAAGAATACTTTATCCAGCAAAGCTATCATTCAGAATTGAAGGTCAGATAAAGAGCTTCACAGATAAGGAAAAGCTAAAGGAGTTCATCACCACTAAACCAGTATTATACGAAATGCTGAAAGGTATCCTTTAAGAGGAGGAAGAAGAAAAAGGTAAAGATACAAATTGTGAACAACAAACATGCATCTATCAACAAGTGAATCTAAGAATCAAGTGAATAAATAATCTGATGTACAGAATGAACTGGTGATTATAATGAATCAGGGACATAGAAAGGGAATGGACTGACTATTCTTGGGGGGGAAAGGGGAATGGGAGATGCGGGAAGAAACTGGACAAAAATCGTGCACCTATGGATGAGGACAGTGGGTGGGGAGTGAGGGCGGAGGGTGGGGTGGGAACTGGGAGGAGGGGAGTTATGGGGGAAAAAAAAAAGAGGAACAAATGTAATCTGAACAATAAAGATTTAAAAAATAAA